ACCTCTGGCCTGTACCCCAGCTCTGTACGCAGAAATAAATAAATCTTTTTAAAAAATAGGCACATAGATTAATGAGCTAGAACTAAGGATCAGAAGTAAACCCTCATATTTATGGCCACCTGATATTTGACAAGAGCGCCAAGAAAATTTAAAGGGGAGAGAAAGGTCTTTTCAGCAGATTTTGCTTGTAAGAAAAAAATGCACTTGACCCTTCCCTCACACCATATACAAAAATTAACTAAATTGGATCAAAGACCTAAATGTGGGAGCAAAACTACAAGACTTGGCAAAACATAGGTGTAAATCTTCATGAACCTGCATTTCATAGCAGTGTCTTAAATATGACGCTAAAAGCACAAACAGCAACAAAAATGATAAACTGATAATATCAAAAACTATTATGTTTCGAAGGACAGCATCAGGAAAATGGAAGAACGACCCACCCCTGGGAAAAAATGTTTGCAATTTCATATGTCAGATAAGACATAGATTATATGAAGAATACTTAAAATTCAACAAAAAAAGGACAAGCATGGACAAGACATTTCTCCAAAGACATGTAAGAGATCAAAAAGCACACAATCATATGCTGAATATCATTAGCTATTAGGGAAATACTGAGACACAATTTCATACCCACTAGTATGTATAATAAAAAATCATTTAATAATAAGTGTTGGCTAAAATGCGGAGAAGTCAGAAACCTGATAGGTATATGAAATGGTACAGTCACTTTGGAAAATAGTTCAGCAGTTCCTAAAAAATTTACACACGTGTTAACATATAATCCAGTAACTTTGCTCTTATATACCTAAGAGAAATGAAAACATAGGACAATACAAACACTAAAACATGGAAATTCAGTGCATGACTCATAATAATAAAGGAAACAACTCAAAAGTCCATCCACTGATTAAAGATCAAATAAAATTGTCATGGCTGGGCCCTCCCTGGTTGCACAGCTAGCACAGCACTGCAAGCTGGCCTCAGCTGCTGCCATGGGAGTTTGAGCCTGCCCCAGAGGGGAGCCACATGGCGCGGCAGACCTTTCCTGTCTCCCCGCTGCTCCCCTCAGCAGTGTACTTCATCAATCTGCCTGGTCTGCTCCCTACTCTGTCTCTGGTGAATCCTCTCACTGCCCCTGCACCTGTGGCCTGTACCCTATTTCTGTATGCACAAATAAATACATCGTTAAAAAAAATAAATAGTCGTGGCCACACAATGGAATATTACTAGGTAAATAAAAAGGAGCAAATGACTTCCATTCCAGCCTGGCAATATAAGGAGCATATAAATCATCACTCTATCTCCACAACAAGCAAAAAACTAAAAAGACTGTAAAGTCAACATTCTTCTTATTGCAATAAGAGAAGTGAGGCCACAGGGCAAACCACTGTCTCCCAAATTGGACTGAGAAGACAGGCAAACAGAAAGGACAGAAGTCCATAAGCCAGCACCACCTCTATGGAAACCCGGACCAGGAAAAAGAAATCAGAACTGTAATCGATAAATTGATGAAGTTCAGGGTAGGAGTTAAAATCTCATGGAGGACCCATTCATGGGGTGAGGGGTGGGGCTTCCACACATTTCTGTCACCTTTGGCAGCAGTGACCCACAGTGACTACTGGAGAAAAATTCCCTCAGGCTTCCAGCTGGAAGAGGAAACAAAAGTATTATAAAACAGGACACCCAAGTTTTGTTCTTTATGAGCTCTGCTATTTTGTTTTATTTATTTATAAAGATTTATTTATGCATGCATGCAAGAACTGGGATACAGGCCAGAGGCATGGGGAGGGTGAGAGGATTCGCCAGAGACAGAGGGGGGACCGGAGCAGGGGTAATAGTGAAATCCACTGCTGTGGGGGAAGAGCAGGGAGAGAAGTCTGCTGCACCCTGTGGGTCACTCCCTGGCTAGTGATCAGGACTGAACTCATGCTGCAGTGACTGTCCGATAGCTTCACAGTGCTGAGATTTAACCCCTTGTGCCACCAGGGAGGCAAGTATGTCTTGGTTTTGGCCAAGTATGGAGATAAGATAGTTGTTTTGAGCTTAGAGTGCAAATATCCTCTTCCAGGAACACCCAGGGAGGATCCAGTCTGGCTCTCCCTACCGCCTGGGGCTCTCATTGCTCTAGATTGGGAGGGAGCCTGAGACCCGAGTGAGCAGTCATCACTCTGTGCTGTGTCCCTTCTCCCCACTTGCGCGAAACTCTGTGTGGCCCTTCTCCCGTGCCCGGTCTCCTAATCTCTGGTGTGGGCATGCGCCCTGCAGCTGGGGTCCTGGCCAACAGGGGTCCTGGCGCAGAGCTGGGCCCCCACCTGGGTCTGCTGGACACAGTGTTCCCCACGGGTGCCGTGTCCCCTGTTTATCTTTCTTTCTTTGAAATATTCATTTATTTATTTATGCATACAAGAACTGGGGTACAGGCCATAATTGGGGGGAGGGGAAGGATTCACCAGAGACAATGGGGAATAGAACAGGCAGATCTATTGAAGCACACTGCTGAGGGGAGCAGTGGGGAGACAGGAGAGGTCGGCTGCGCCCTGTGGGTCGCTCCCTGGCGGGGGATTGAACTCGTGCTGCAGGGCTGTGAATTGCTTCATAGTGTGGTGCTTAACCCATTGTGCCTCCAGAGGGGGCCCCCTGTTTACCTTTCAAGGCTTGCTGCCTCTATGGATATGTGGAGGAGAGCTCTGAATCTTCGCTCTCCTGCCTCTGCTCCAATTGAAAAGCCTCCATAGAGGATTTGGGCTTGGAAATCCTCTTTTTGATCCCTAAGACATCTCTCTGTGCAGTTTTCCTCTTTATGGCTGCCAGCCTTTGTTTTATCAATACAGTATCTTTCAATATCACTAAGGACACAAGGTGATAGTATTAATTTTTTTTAATTCTTCTTCTAAGTTTTCTGTTTCTTTGGAAGCTGTTGCATGGATTTCGGGGGGACTTTAACACCCCTGGCTATGCACTGGGGAGTCGCCTGCAGACCTCTGGCAGCTTGCTGGAGACCAGGTTCGGGGTGGGTCAGGGTAGGCGGCTCTGCCGGTAGATGTGTTCCCAGAGATGGCAGCGGTGGGTCAGGAAGCTTGGGCCACCCCACATCTTCTCACACCAACTGGGGCCCTGGTCCCCCTTGCACGCTTCTGAGTCTTTGCCCACTGGAAAGGGCGGGGGAGGCTGAGCCCTGGATTTCACAGGGCGCTGGTGAAGCCCGGGGGGTCCCAGCTAGTCCTGTGGCAGGTTGGCCTGCCACCCGCATTGTGGGGCCACTGCCCTGGGAACCACCCTTTACCCCACCCCGATGGTGCTGACCTTGGAGTGGGGCTCCTGGTCGCCCCAGAGCTCCTCAGGTTCCAGGCTCCCTTCTTCCTGCAGTGCCACGTTCTTGTCCAAAGCCAAAGGGTCCAAGAAGGGTTCCGGCGGTGGTTTCCGAAACCCCTTCAAGCGGGAGAACTTAAAGGCGCCATAGGCCCTAGCCAGGCCCATCCACTGGGACGGGCCCTTCTGAAGGGCTTTGTCTGAGCCTGCGTTCAGGAGACCCTCGGGCTCGCCACCCTTGTCCAGGCCCTGGTCGCCGTCGCCGGGGGCGTCGGGAAGCTCGGAGGCCATCTTGGGAGCCGCATCTGCAGGGGGCGCTTAGACCTGGGTGTGAACCGCCAGCACCCGCGTGCCGCCCGGCTCCGAAGACACCCCTCCCCCACCCCGCCCCGGCCCTTGGGGCCCACCCAGGCTCCTGACCATCTGGAAGCCTTATCTTCCGAAAGGATCCACAGGGTGGCCCCATTCGCTCCTTAAACTTGTTCTAGGCAGAAAAGGAATGAGGCCGAGCGTGGACCAGACGGCCCCACCCTTGCAGCACCCCCACTCCTGCACCCCTTGGGTCTCCTGGGCTCCTCTGCCTCTGTAGGGGCGCCTGGCCAACCCACGTCATGCCAACGACCAGAAATGGTTGATGGAGTCCAGGATGGGCCCAGCTGCACTAAGCTGCAGCTCCCAGGAGCGGGGTGCACTGTGTGAGGAGGGGGGCAACCTTGCCACCACGCACTGCAAGGACAGTGTCTGCCAGGCAGGGGCGGCCCCTGGCTGGAAAAGACGTTGAGGGAATTTTTCCAAAATACTAAGGGTCATCCTCTCCTGCCGGTGGAATTGGCAGCGGTTTTTTTCGTTCTTTCGCTAGTGAGCTTTCGGTGCCACTTTGCTAATGGAAAAACCTCTGCAGTTGGCTTTTTGCAAAGGTCTCAGCTGTGCCCGTGAAGCGCCCCAGAGCGGGCCGGGCACGCCTGCCACCCTTGTCCTTTCTCCCAGTAGGACCTGTCTCGGCGCTCAGCTGCAGGATGGTTCTCAGAGGCCGCAGATCCCGGGGCCACTGAGGTGCCACTGAGCCCGGGGCCACCTCCATCACCCAGAAGAGGGCGGAGCTGCACTCCCCAGGGAAAGGGCAGAGGGAAAGCGCTGCCCCCTGCCACCCCCACTCGCCCCAGGCCCTTGAACAAGGGTCATTGTCCACATCCGGACTCAGCTGTCTTCATGACAAAACCGGAGAAAAGCCCTCACTTTGTCTTTTATAAAGGTTCAGGAAATAAATCAAGAAGCAAATAGAAAAATCCCATTTTAATTAAACTGTACAGTCTCAGTATTTTCCTGACACTAACTGAAGTTAAAAATAGAAATCGTTTTCTGCAACCTTCCAAGGCAGCGTTTGAAATGTCGAGGTTTCAGGGTTATTTTACAGCATGAGTTTACATAAATACAATCTGTACAATGTACTGACAGCGGGCAACCGCTTCCATCACAGCCAAGGGCTGGTGTGGGGACCGCGGCCCATTCGGTCACTACCTCCTTAGTGGGAGACGTTTCAGCCTTGAAAAGAAAACGAAAAAGAACATCAGACCCTGCCCTGATTTTCACATTTTTACCCATAAAATACATGGAAACAGTGTTTGATCTGCAAACTGACAATGCTTCTTTGCTTATCCCCAAAACACTTGGAGACTCACTCACCCACAGAATGTAGGGGACCTACTTATAAAAAGTAAGTTCTAAGGTGGTGCAGGGTGAACACTCAGCACTATCAAGCTGGCAGCAGCCACTGCAGCACAACTTCGATGCCCAGCCAGGGAGTGACCCCCAGGGTGCAGCAGACCTCCTCTGTCTCCCCACTGCTCCCTTCAGCAGTGGATTTCAGTCAATCTGCCTGCTGTGCTCCCCACTCTGTCTTTGGGGAATCCTCTCATCCCTTACACATTTCTGGCCTGCACCCCAGCTCTTATATGCATAAATATATAAAATGAAATCTTTTAAAAAAAAGAAACAAGAAAATTGCTCCTTTGAGGACGGGAGTCAGGATAATAACTCAGAAAAGAGGGAACCAGGGAAGGGCTTCCTGGGGTGCTGGTCTGTTCCTTGTATTCATGGAGAAAATGTGTAGAGCTGGGAACTTAAGATTTACGTATAAACATGTGTGTATATTCATTAGAAGTGTGTACCTGACAGGTTTAAGCTACATAAGGATGTTTATAAAATCATTATTAAATGTCATCTGTGATTATATTAAATTTAAATCATAGTTTAATATATTGTCTATAACTTTTAAAATATACATAATCCTTATAAGAAAAGTGCATAGCAAATGTATGCATGCTGCATGCATGTGCGCGGAGCTGAGCAAAGCCTTGGAAACCGCATGGGAAGCTGACGGAGGTCACTGTGCAGAGAGGAGCACTTTGGGGAATCGGTCACTCACCTCTCGAATCTATCTGTAAGGTGTGAATTTTTTACCATGAGAATGTATATACATATTACTAAAACATGCAAAATTAACTTTAAAAAGTCTAGTGAGGCCCTCCTTGGTGGCACAACTGGGTAAAGTACTGCAAGCTCGCCGCAGCCCCTTCAGTGAGAGTTGGATCCCCGCCCTGGAAGTGACTCACAGCTGCAGACCTCTCCTGACCCACCCGCTGCTCCCCTCAGTGGTGTGCTTAGTCAGTCGGCCTGTTCTGCTCCCCACTCTGTCTCTGGTGAATCCTCTCACCCCCTGCACCTCTGGCCTGTACCCCAGTTCTGTATGCATAAATCAATAAATCTTAAAAAAAAAAAAAGTCTAGTTAACACAGAGGGGGCCTCCTCCCTGGTAGCCTGGAGTTAAGTCTCAGGCTATAGCACGTGTTCGATCCCCAGCCAGGGAGCTGACCCACATGGCGCGGCAGACCTCTCCTGACCCTCCCGCTGCTCCCCTCAGCATTATGTTTCGTCAGTCTTTCTGCTCTGTTCCCCATTCTGTGTTTGGTGAATCCCCTCGCCTCCCTGCACTTCTGGTCTGTACCCCAGTTCTTGTGGGCATAAATAAATAAATTTTTTTTAAAAAAGACTTAAAAAAAAATCTCACAAACATACAGATTTATCATTTATGACATGTGACTCTAGACAAACAAAATATATGAAGGTGCTAAGGTGCCTCTGAGGGACGCAACCCTATCTCACCGTCTCAGCAGTTCCTGGGGGGACAGGCCAGGGGGCGCATCTTCCTCACTCTCACTGTCGCTGCTGTGGGAACTGTCAGAACTACTGCTCTTCTCTGACTTCTTGTTCTTCTGCTTGCCCTTATGTTTGTGCTTCCGGTGTTTCTTTTTCTGGGGAAAAAAAAATGAAATTGGGGAGCGGTGGTAGAAGCCAATGGCATGTTCCTCCTTGAGTCAATCACTGACAGGGTAACAGGCATGTGGCAGCTGGATTCATTAAAACAACAGAAAACCCCATTAGGGCTGAGCTCGTGTGTGGCGGACACACTCACAACTGACCCCGGAGGCCAGGCAGGCACGGCGGGACCCCCTCTTGACACTCAGTCCCCATTTTACCTGAGGTGGCCCTGACACCCCTGAACCTGCGTGTTCCATCTAGCTAGGCTCCTGAACATAACCCAGGGTCAGGTGTCTTTGCTGAAAAAGCAGAGGAGAAACTGGGAGAAGGTCAGAGAACAGCAGACATTGAAAGATCCATGTGCCCCAACGTAGCCTCAAAATAGTCTCCTCAGCTGGCTCCACAACTCCGGGGGCCTGTGGAGCAACTCCGGGGGCCTGTCTGGACAACAGAAGTAGGGACATTAGCCCCCTCACCCCGATCCCAGCACCCCACAAGTTACCCACCTTCTCTTTCTTTCGCCTGTGCTCTTTCTTGGTCTTGTGCTTTTCTTTGTTCTTTTTATGTTTCTCCTTTTGAGGTACCTCAGGTTTCTGACGAGCATCTGAAACACAGTGTAGGGCACTTGAAGGTCAAGTGACTAAAACAAGAATCTGATTCAGATGGAATGTTTAACATTGAGGCGGACCGCTGCCCAGCCTTGCTGATAAACAAAAGGATTAGCACCTCACATTACAGCTATATTTAGAAACTGCCAGGAACCTCAATGTAGGACCTGTGTGAGTCAACCAGTTTCTCCAGGCAGGCTTATCAGAGGTAGATAAAGTCAAGAGCAAAATGCCAAAAGTCTTATCCAACTTCACACCCTCCGCTAAGCTCAGGAACAGAGTGGGAACCTCAGCTCTGTGCCTGCTCAGAGAACTTTGACTCCTCCAAGGCTTTATTTCCCCAGCAATAAATGGGATAAGAATGCCTACCCTCTTAGGGACACAGAGGATTGGATGGGACCAAGCACTCGAATCCTCGAGCCTAGAATCTACCACATCAAGTCCTCCCTTTACAAAAGCACACTTTACAGGAACTTGTCCTACATGTGGGAAATGAAAGAGCATCAAAACAATATGATGAAATAAGTTGTAGGTGCCTAAATTCTCCACTTAAATTGCCAAATAATCAAGCCAACAAATAGTCCCAGTAGTAGCAGCAGAGTGAATCATAAAAGCAACTTTTTCCACTGCATTTCAGCAGTGTGAGTATTTTCCAAAATCAGTCAATAGGTGCCTGTGATTTTCTAGTCTGATAGTTTGGTCCAATACTTCATAATATGACTTCCTTAAATTTAGTTTTAAAGGTAGCTTTTTTGTTTTTAAGATTTTTAAAATTTATTTTTATGTAGAAGAGTTGGGGTATAGGCCAGAAGTGTGGCGGGGGCGAGGGGGGGAGCTGAGAGGATTCAGCAGAGACAGAGTGGGGAGCAGAACAGGCAGATGGACGAAATCCACTGCTGACGGAGCAGCGGGGAGACAGGCCAGGTCTGCTGCACCATTTGGGGCACTCCCTGGCCGCAGTAGTGATAGTGCTGAGACTTAATTCCCAGGCCACTGGGGATAGATACCCTAACGCTAGTTTCTGAAACACTGTTCCCCCTCAATAACCCACAGACTGAATTAAGGTGTTAGCTATTATAACAATATCAGTAATTTAGCTTTCAAGTGCTAATATACTTTTAGGTAAAGATCTAAACTTGAGCAAGTGTGAATCCATTTATTGCAATTTCTCAAAACTTCATACTTTTCATCTTCTCTTTGAAGGTTGGCTAATTCACCAAACCAGTATTTTTATACACGGGCGCTACAGGCATCTATAAAGTAGATGGTGAAATGACACGCTATTTATATATCGGGGCCATGTACTCAGATGTTTGTTAACCCAATGTTCAAAGAGATGGTAAAGCAGCCTAAGAATTTTAATGTGAGGTGTGAATTTCAGATGATAGGAACAGAAGCTGTGATCAGGTATCCTGGGGAAGAGAATGGACTGTATTTACTCCTCAAAGAATAAAATTTTTACTTTATTTGCTAAATCAGTCAAAGTATAGGAAAGTTTCAGAGAGTCCTTCTTGCTGCAGTTTTCTTCCCATATTCAAGTCCTAGATTTTTACTTCTATTTCTTTCTTTCTTTTTTTTTTTTTTAGATTTATTTATTTATGCATATAAGAACTGGGTTACAAGCCAGAGGTGCAGGGGTGAGAAGATTCACCAGAGACAGAGTGGGGGGCAGGAGACAGACGGACTGAAATCCACTGTTGAGGGGAGCAGCGGGCGGGTCACCCCGTGGGACAGGAATCAAACTCATGGTGCAGTGGCTGCAGGCAGCTTCACAGTGCTGCACTTTAACCCACTGCGCCACCAGGGAGGGCCCAGATTTTTACTTCTATTTCTATAAGTGACAGTTGAGATACTCAGGACTCTACTATAAGTTTCTGAAAGCTAAAAAGTTTCAGGTCTCAAGGGTTGTAATGGGACCATAACCTAGACATGAGGTGCAAGCAATGATTCCAAACCGTGGCTGAGAATGAATAAACCAGAAACAAGTGCATATGATTTGGTTAAACCCAAGTTGGATGAGTGGGGTGACAACTGTCATGTCTCAGGGGAGACGATGGAGCTTTCAAAGCAAGCAGGGGAGCCAGGAGCTCTCAACTCACTGGGGCAGAAGACAGGAGGCAGCCGTGGGCCAAACTCTGCTCTTTCATCTATCTGCATCTTCTGGATCGGGAAGGAAGGTGCAGGTTTCTGGGGTGCTGGCTCAGCCGCTGCAAAACACCGGGGTATGAATTCATATACGTACCAAATATTAATGTGTCCAAGTCTTTCAATAATGTCTGTTGCCACCAGATAACATGGTTTTCTTCACGCTGCATAACCAGCTCATGCCAGGGGCTGAGGGAACAGTGGAGGCCAGCTCCAAGCTCACAGGCACGTGAGCTGCGATTCAGTCATCCTGAGAGCAGACACCCCAGCACCTGAGTGCCGGGCAGTGCCCACCGGCGGCTGCCCCAGCATGAGGCACCTGCGCTCTGAGAGGAGAGCAGACAGGGCCCCCTATACCTCGCGACCTCATCATCAACAGGTTAAAAAAAACAAATATTTTTTAAAGTCGTCTCAACTAGGATAGAAAAATCAACACTGTCAAACCACGCCACAGGTTTATACCAGATAGAGACTAACAAGCACCCTACCCTGTCCCACCTTCTTTGGAAATAGTAGGATTGCGGATTATCCTTATTTACATTTTCGGGCTAAACGAAGTAGCCGATCATCATTTCCGCCTTGAGGTCCCAACGTCGGAAGTAGGACTTACTGGGCGCCACAGAGGGTGTTTCCGTTGAACCAGCCTCTCGGGAACTTTTGGAGTCTGGCTCCTCGGCGGGCTCCTGCTCATCCTCACTGGCACCCTGCTCCTCCTCAGAGGATGAGGACTTCTCATCGGAGGAGCTGGCGAAGATGGCCTTGAACAAGTCCATGGACGGCCGGCTCTCCTCTCCCTCCGTCTGGGAATCCGCATCTTTGC